CTTGGGTTTAGAAGGCTGGCCGACTTGATGGTCTTTTTTGTAAATTAAGGAGTCTATATTCACTGTGAAAATTAGAAAATGCACACAAGCAAAATGTATAAAAATCACACGTAATCTTACTGCCTAGAAATACACTGGACGGTTGCGTTCAGCATTTTGCTGTTTCCCATAGGTAAATATGGGTGAGCGTTGGTGCGACGACCATTCTCAAGGGTGACGTTTGTGTACGGCCTCGCTTTTCTTCTAAAGAATGTAATTATCTTTTTTCCTTTTCCTTTTAATGTATATATATTTACACATTTTATACGTGTGTGTACACACGCACGCACGCGATGTGCACATTCTTGTAAAACCTCAAGCTGTGCAGAGGGTGCAGCTTGCGCGGCTCTGGGCAGGGCGCGGCGGGCAGGTTGCCTGCAGGTGGCCGTGGGCTGCACCTGCGGCCGGGCCTGCGCACCTGAGTGCGGCCGTGTCCTTGTTTTGTCCTCACACCGACAGTGTCGAGGGGTGTTCCCCCACCAGTGCACGCATCTTCCTCGTTCCTGACGAGTGGACAGTGTCTCCTCACGTGGGCCACGTCCACGTGAGCGGTGGCGCTGCAGCCGGCGCACCTGACAGAGTCTGGTGTGTATGAGTGTTTCCAGGAGTGGAATCGCAGGCCTCGGGGGCGCCTTTTTCAGCCTCTTGATAAGCTGCCAAGTTCCCCCAGAGCTTGCCAGGCCCCGATCCCCGTGCACTGGGTCAGAGGCTGCTCTTTCTGCCTGGTCCGATTCTTCACATATCTACCTTGTACAGGTGTCATTTGCATTTGAATTTGTTTACACTCAACAGGTTTTTTGATAGAAAGTCCTTCAAGTTTGAGATAGTTGATAGTTTCCTGTGTTTTCTTTGGGTAAAAATTTTAACTCTGCATCTAACTATCTTCAAACGTAGAACAAGGTGGGGCTCTAACTAACTTCACTGTTTTTAGGCTGCTCTGTCAGGGTAAAGTTTGGCTACAAAGTACCACAAGTCCTGGATAGCAATCTAATCCCATCAGAGTCTGGCCCGCCTTCTAACTCCGCACCTGGCAGCTCTTCTCAGAGCCACATGGGGACTGTGTGTCTGGAGCCCGGCTCAGCTCCAGGACAGACAGAAAGGCGAAAGGGCTGTGGGGATGCTCCCTCTTAAGAAACCTTCCAAGAACTTCTGGTGACTCGCGCCTGAAGTTGCTGGAGATGGTGGTCTGTGTGGCCTCTTGCACACGAGGTGGGTGGCCGGTGGCCTCTGCCACTGAAGCAGGGTGGGGACAGGCTCCCAGGGCCTCCTGACCGATGATGCGCAGTTTCCTGCCAGTTTGCGATACCAGCTCTGTGAATCCTGTTCGGTATTTTTCTGTGATGGTCACAGCCTAGAAATCTCCTTGGAACATGTGGGGACTGAATGGTGGTGGGCTGACATTGAACTCTGATCGATGACAATGACTGAATCGTCTGTGGTAAAGGAGATTTGGTGTGGTTTTACGTAGACATCTTATCAGTTGTGGGATTTCTTTGAGGTTTCGACAGGTGAAAAGAGTAAACTTCATTTTCATTTTGAGGAGAAATGGCCACAGCTCTTTATGAACATGATTCTGTGACTCTCTTGGGAGAATGGAGCACGTGGCTGTATCAGCGTTGGAAGTAACAGAGGAATGAAGTGATCTTTGTGGTATCTGACGCGGGCGGCTGGACGTGTGGCCGATAGCACCTAGCTGTGAAAGTACATTGTCCCAGCCAGAACACGCAGCTCCTTAAAGTGATGAGAACTGCGTGTAATGCTAGTATTGGATGACGTAATCCAAACGATTTTGTTTAGCACTGTTTACATTTCTGAAAGGGTAGCTGGCCATTTAAATGGGTTCAGCTAATCAAGTTTGCCGCTCCAGGGGCAAACACTGTTTCTTGGAATGTGAGCCGCTCTCCTCCTGGAGGTCAGTGGGCCCCTTCTCTGGGCAGAGACAGACTCCAGCCCATCACCGCCGGCTGTAGGAGCGTGGGGTGGGGGAGGGGTGAGTGCCAGGCATGGGGCGGTGGGGGGGGAGGGGAGGGCACGGCCTTGCCTGTCCTGCGGCTGCTGTTGAGCTGTTCCGACTGCACCATTCCTTCTGGGCTGGACAGCGGTTCCCCTACCCCGCCTGACCCCCCCAGCCCTCACCCAGCCCTCACCTGGCCCTCAGTGCTCCCAGTGTCCTTCGAGGGTTCCACGAGGAGCCCCAGCAGGGGAGGCAGTGTGGTGGCTCTGCAAGTCTAGCCAGAGGTCATGAAGACTGTCAGACCGTCCAGTGTCTGTCAGGTCCGAAGGTGCCGTCCCACCCCAGAGCGACACTGTCCTTGGGTGGTTCCCAGAGTCGTAGGGCCTTTAAGGCCCCTGCTGGCCTCAAGGAAGGGCCAGCGGGGCTCGGCCGGCCAGAGCTTCCAGCCGGCTCGCCAGCAGTGTCCCTTGTGTCCTCGGAAGCCGGAGCCGCAGTCCTCCTCCCGCGTGACGGTTCTCACGGCCGTTGCTAACCTGGAGAGCCCAGTTACACACACTTGGAGTAGGTATGTTACCGGCGCGTCTTCCTGGTGGAGACGGCACTGTGTGTCCACGTGGCACCCCTTCCTGCTCTGGTGACATGGGCATGCTGTGACCCCGTCAGTCTCTCCCAAAATATGGGGGAGGGGGTGGTAGGCCACCCCCTCATGTCACGAGCCACTCAAGAAGCCCGTGAGCAAGCTGGCAGTGTCGCCCTGGCCGTGCAGGCCCCCTTCGCCCTCTGTCCATTCCTGGCGCCTCCAGGGCGCTGAGGGCAGGGGAGGGAAGAGGAGGGACCGTTCTGTGGTGTTATTTCGGGTGCACGCAACTTAAGAGGACGCCGACCGCACGTCTGCTGTGCAGGTGCTGAGCTGCGGGAACGTTGAGCACACCGGAGTGCCCTGCGTACGCCGCCATCGAGTGTGTTCTGCTCGTGGGCGTCGATAGCGTGAGCGCGCTGGCTTTGGCCTCTTCCACGACCTCGGGCCAGTTGTTGAATGACGTTAGGCCTGTAACTGTGCTTTTTTATCTCCGACTTTCTGTGCTCCTGTCGTTATCGGGACAGAACTAAGGGGCGCAGGGGAGCACGTGCCCTTAGCACTTCAGGCACCCCAGCTTCACGCCCCAGGGACGGCTGTGTGGCAGCCCGGTGCCCCTCTGGACAGCTCGCCCCAGCGGTGGCCTGCTAACTGGGAGGCGGGCGTTCACCTGCTGACGAGACACACCAGTCCTGCGCAGAGCGCTGCTGAGTAGCGGGGCGTTTTAGGGTGGCATCTCGGACGTCAGCGTGCCTGCCGAGCTGCGGAGAGACGCGCTGAATACTTAGCGCGTGGCCGGTGCTCAGGGCCTGCCGGAGACTTCGCGCGTGGCCGGTGCTCAGGGCCTGCTGGATACTTAGCGCGTGGCCGGTGCCCAGGGCCTGCCAGAGCACTAAGAGCTTCGCCCTTCCCAGCTCGGAAAGCTTGCTGCACTTCAGTGTTGTGCGAGGTGACACCTTTTCAGCTTTATTGAAAACTGGATCCTGGCTGGCCGAATCGGCCGCGTGTTTGAGGCGAGGTTTTCTTTTTTCTTTTTTCTTTTAATTGAACATGGTGGACAAAATTAGCTTCCAGTGATGGCCTCACCGGCGATGCAGATGCATTGCGAGCCAGGGTGTCGAGGAGCCCGCCGTGTGCCGTCGATGGCCTCACGTAGCCTTCAGACCCGCCACGCGTGTGAGGGTCACCCCAAATGGATTTTGGGGGTGGGAGAGGCAGGACTTCCGGTGAGAGTCTCGAAGTCGACCTTGGACAGGTGCCCCTGTGAGGCAGCACGGAAGGCGGTAGCACCTAATTGTTACCCGGTACCGTGGTAACGCGGCACTAACAGGTCCTGTTGGGGAGTGTTGCCTTCTCTCGCGTGGACTGTTTGCTAGGTGTCGAGCTAACATTATTACTGTAATGTTATCACTGAGCTCATTTTATTCTGTCTTTAGTTGCTTCTAAACTAGCTCAGAAAGGAAGCAGGCCGAGTGATTTGCTGTGATTCCTGGGGTCCAGCCGTCTGGCTCCCCGCCCCACCCCCCACTCTGCCTGGGCCCTTTACTTAATCTCTGAACATAATGGAGGACGACTGTCCTGCTGTCACCCTTCCTCCGGAGGGTCTGCGGGTCTCTTTGGCCCTGACATGCAGCTCCACGACCGGCTGCTCCCTGGCCAGGACTGGCTTTGTCGCCCACGGGCTGACGGTGATAGAAGCGACTTTTGAGGGGTGAGGCAGCATTTGGGGCTCACTCCTCTCCCCCAGAGACCAGAGACCGTTAGGAAGGACGAGGGGGCCGCACCGACTCTCGCTGAGGGCGTTCGGTTGTTGACCTTGTCGCAGATTGAGCGCTTGCGTGTTGAACCCAATGGGACTTTTCTGCCTCCAGGGACAGCGTTTCTGTGTGACGAGGTTGGGAGGCACTGCACACTGGATCAAGCAGATCCGCAGCGGCGGGCAGACCCCGACTGCTGTCACTGGACCGTCGGGCTTCCTGAGGACGCGTGTCTTCTTGTCCCGCAGGCCCCTGTCCCTCGCCTTGACCTGTCAGACCCGCGCACGCTCCGAGGTGCTGGGACTCGGAGCCCGCCGGAGCAGGGGCGGCGTGCCCGGCGCGGCCGTTTCCCCCGGCTGCACCCACCAGTGGGAATCGTCTTCCGTCTTCCAGGGGCGGAGTTCTCTGCTTCTTAAAGTCAACGGAACGGCGCTTGCGGACAAGTCTCGCAGCGCCAGTGGGGCGTTCTGTGTGCGGTGCTGATGAAATGCGCTCAGTCTGTGGCGTAAACAGCCCTGCGGAGTCGGTCTGCCAGGCTGCGCGTTTCACCTCGCTCCCTGCTGCCAGGGTCGCGGGTGGCCACAAACCCACGGCAGCGTCGCCTCTCCGAGAACCGCGGGGGATGCGGCGAAGCCTGATTGTGACTCTGGTGTGCTTTCTCTTTGTCCACTAGGCTCCACGAGGAAATCATCGACTTTTACAACTTCATGTCCCCTTGTCCTGAAGAAGCGGCCATGAGGAGAGAGGTGGTGGGACGGATCGAGACTGTGGTCAAGGACCTCTGGCCCGCGGCCGATGTGGGTATTGTTTTTATCCCGTGTGGCATGCGAGTAGACATGAGCGCCCAAGGCTGTAAGGGTCGGTCAGGTGTGGCCCTGGGCCAGCAGCAGCCATCGCCTGCCAGCGTGTTCAAAACACACCGGGGGGCAGGGCGAGTGTCACACGCGCCCCGCAGGTGGGCCTGGCTGCTCTGCCCGGGGACGTGTCCGGAATGCACGATGATTTTGATGATTTCGCTTGTTTTAAATTCATCTCGAGGCTAGATGTTTCACCCCTGCCCCCACCGCTCCTCGTAGCGGAAGTTCATTTCCGCGAAACTCGAAAGTGTTTCCTCATTAGGCACTTCACAGGATCCGCTGAGCTGAGGCCATGGGCACTTCCAGTGCTTGGCACAGGCCGCACTGGACCTGTCCTTTGGTCACGGAATGACAGCCGGCCACAGGCTTCTCTCCTAATCAGTCAGCCTTCCCTGCCAGTGGCCGATAACTGTGACGGTGACCCAGTGACGGCGTTGGGCTGGGCTGCTGACGGGCATGTGTGCGCTCAGTGGGCCAGGCAGCAGCCTGATTGTCCTCTTTGAAAGTGACGTATGACGTCTCTGGCTTTAAGCCGTAGTGTCCTGGAACAGTGCCCCAGCTCTGCCCCTTAGCTGTGAGGCTGAAGGTTTTGTTGGGGAGTCTGAATCAGGCTTTGAAAAGTCCTTGGATTTCAGCAGGTGTGGGCAAGGCCAGTAATTGCTTCATCTCTTAATGCTGAGTTTAAATTTCTTTTGGGGACAAGTTTTTTATATATAAATTATTTTTTATCTTTTAATTACAATTGACTTACAATATTATATCAGTTTCTTGTGTACAGCGTAGTGGTTAGATATTTATGTAACTTATGAAGTGATCCCCCTGATAAATCTGGTTCCCACCTGGCAGCACACGTAGTTAGTAACAATATTATTGACTATTCGCTGTGCTGTACGTTACATCCCCGTGACTGTTTTTATAACTGGCCATTCATATTTCCTAATTTGGGGGTCGGTATTTAACTTACAGATTAAGAAAATTTTGTTGAATTGTTTTTGGTGCCGCTCCCGCCGTGTGCGGGGCAGTTTTAATTTTACCCGGAGTAGGCGCGAGGCCTTTCAGTGAGAAGGTCGGAGGACGACGGCTTGAGTCGTCATCTGTTCTAAGACAGTCGTTCTTTCTTTCAGGTGCAGATATTTGGCAGCTTTAGTACTGGTCTCTATCTTCCCACTAGGTGAGTGCTGGGGGTTAGTGTTTATGGTTGTAGAGGGGAGGGCCGGGCAATGCGTGCGTATCTATATTAAGGGCTAAAAGTTGGTTCCTTGCGTTCAAGTCTAAGGCTAGAAGTACGAGCTAAAGGGAGAGACTCTGGATCATGGAGGGGAAATTGGAGGAAATAAGATTTAATTTACTGTGGTGGTAATTGATCGCTTGGTATTTTCCCTCTCGCACTTGGTTTGATGGATTACAGAAATGCCGGACTCTAGAAACAGGTGAGAGAGAGGACCGGGGAGAACATGCAGTGGAAATCGTCCTAATATTTTTGGATACGGTTTCAAAAAATCCATCTTACGTTTCAGTGAAGATTCAAGCAAAATTCTAATTAAACATTACCTTGTTACGATTTTTATTTTATAGAAAAATGTCAAACAAGTTTGCATTCTCCAGTATTTCCTCAACAAAGACTCTTAATATCCAAATCAATTTTACGTGTGTTGTTTCATTAAAAGTTTATTTTCTCTTAACGCACTGTTAGCATTTGGACACTAACGAGGCTGTAATCTCAGGATTTGGAGCGGGCAGGGCCGTGGGGGATAGAACAGGTTCGAGGTGTTGGGGAGTCCTGGGTCAGCAAGGGAGTCCTGACCCAGTGTAGGCAGCACAGAAGCGAGGACCCGGAAACCCCAGGGGCCAGGCCCATTCACTTCGGTCCCTAATTGCCGAGGGAGGCCGGGAGGCTCTTCAGCCCTTCTGCTTCCCATCCTTGTGTCTCAGACACTTCGCGAGCTGCGTTTTCTCTCCCCGGGAGGGCTGGGCTTCACGGGGTGTGTCTGGCCCCTGCAGGAGGGCCAGGCGTGGGCGCTGGGGCACCGGTCCAGCCCACAGGCCCGCGTGACCGCATAGTGAGGCGAGCAGTGGTTCACGGTCACTTTTCTCTTGTCCAGTGACATCGACTTAGTGGTCTTTGGAAAATGGGAGCGGCCTCCTCTCCAGCTGTTGGAGCAGGCCCTGCGGAAGCACAACGTGGCCGAGCCGGGCTCCATCAAAGTCCTGGACAAAGCTACCGTAAGTGCGTGTCCCACGCCTGCAGGCCGGCCCGCTGCCTGGGCCGCACCGAGGCTGTTTGCACCCGGTGCTGCGTTTCTGAGGCTTCTCCGCTTCTGGCATCAGTGCGCTTCCGAGCTGTTGTTTTAGGTAGGATTACCAGCCGAGGGCATGTGTACTGACAGAACTCCAAGTTCTGGGGGCATCCAGCGGTTCTCCGCCCCGGAGTACAGGACTGTGACTGCACGTGTTAGGGTGTGTAAAGAAGGGTGTCAGTGTCGGAAATGACACACTCAGGGGCTGCCCTTTCTGGAGCATGTAACCGAATGATTATAGCACGGGAAAAGGTTACCATTCGCCAAGTTATACTTCAGAAAGAACTCACCTGTCCTTTCGTTGTCAAAAACTAGACACTTGGGAGAAATTCCTTATCTCGGGGAGGAGTCGGAAGCTGGGACTGATTTGAAGCACACTTGTCACGGTTTCTGCAAGTCCAGTGTTAGAAGCAACGCAGGACCTGTAAGTTACGTGCCTGTTGTGTGATAGTTGCTCGCTCACCTGTCATGCGGGCTGACGTTCTTTCACGGCGTTTCAGCCTGTGGAAAGCTGTACGAAATCCTTTCCGTTTGAGGAAGATGGGGGCTTGCCCTCGCTCGTGCGCTGGCACCGTTCGCTCACCCGCGCTCTGGCGCCATGTACTAGTTTGGCCGCCTTTTAAACCACTTCCAGGCCTTGTCTCCACCCTCCCAGCCTCTCTCGTTAGCAGATACCGTTATCGTCCACATTTCACAGGTGAGGAAGCTGAGGCCCAGGGAGGTTAGGTGACGAGCCCAGGTGGCTCAGCAGCTACGCCTTTTCCTCTGCTGCCTCAGCGAGGGCCGCTCTCGCGTGGTGCTCTTGGCAGTTGGCCGCAGGAGAGCGTTTTAGATCAGGTTGTGCGCTGAGAAGCCTGTCCCTGTACTGACTTCTAGACGTTTTAAACCCTAATTAGACTCTGGTCGTTTTGGTGAAGGGAACGTTCTTTTTATTTTAGAGGATGAAGTAAAAAAAAAGAAAAAACATTGCCTTTCCTTACAGAAGAACATAATTTTTGGAGGGCGGAGGCGATCTCAATGGTTGCTTGGCAGCTTTTATGAGACCAGTTTTGAGTTCTTTTGATGACAGTTTTTGCCAATAAGAATATTTCCAAAATAGCCTTTTATTCCATTTTAGAGAAAAAAATTTTTTTGTTTGTCTTAAAGAATAAAAACCCCAAGTAGAATTGTTTGGAGTAACAACGTCGATACAAGATATGGTTTTAGAAGTGACTTCGAAGCTACTTTGACTGTTTTCAGACGTTTTAGCACACAGATTTGGGGACGGGAGTCCTCTCCATCGCCAGGCTCCGGTGGACGGGGACGCAGCGGCTCTCCTTGCTGGGCCGGCGGCGTGTGGGCCTTCCGAGTGTGGGCCTTCCGCCCCTCTTTCTCCTCCCTCAGGCACCCGTGCCCCTTCACCCCCCCTCCCCTGGCAGAAGCAGATGGTGGCCGTGACTGGTGCTCTGTCACTGGTGAGGTGCTGAGTCCGGCCGGCAGGGCTGGGTAGAGGTGTGCGGGGCTGGGCTGGGGAGCCGTCTTGGGTTCTTGAGACTCATGAAGTTAACGCTGGCAAAGTTCCTTGTCTTCTCATCCTTAAAATCTTGGGCTCATGATCTCTGAGCCCCTTTTGTGAATAATTTTTAAAAACTTCTCTGTACGACTTGGGAAATATTTTGATGCCTGACTGTGGAGAATGTTGTATACTGTAGCATAATTGTTCAAATTATATCTTTGCAGGTACCAATAATAAAACTCACAGACCAGGAGACTGAAGTTAAAGTTGACATCAGCTTCAACATGGAGACTGGTGTCCGGGCAGCGGAGTTCATCAAGAATTATATGAAGGTGCTGCCACCAGCAAGTTAGCACAGTGAAAATGAGGGCCTCGTGCTGGGTATCACTGCTCTCAGAAGTGTTAAAACCTTTGAACGATTGTCTTTAATAATAGAGACTGCAGAGTTAGATTACGAGCCCTACAGTTTTATTTCTAGAGGTGCTTTGAAATGACATAGCTGTTTTTCACATTCGCTTTCCTTGGCTGAGCATTTCATAAAGTGGAGCGTTATTTCCGAGAGCTTCGTCGAATGCTCTTTCTAGTTAGTGTGAAATGACCGTCCCTGCCGCGCCACGCGCCCGGCTGGCGAGTTAGCCCAGGGCCCACCGGACGGTGCTCACGTCCCCGTGAGCCTCACATGTACTGCCTGGCTCGCACGCCCAGGGGTGGCGGAGAGGCTTGTCTATTGAGTGGGCCGATTTTGGACTCTGACCAGGTTCCCGGTCCAGTTCCGCAGATGGCCTTTCCCTCCTGTCACAGTGGAAGTGGCGGACCCCCGGGCCGAGGGCCACTCCCTCCTTCCAGTTCCCTTTCCTCTGCATCACGTCTTGTCGAAAGGTTCACTTCTCCCCCAGCAGACATGAAAACGACAGAAGTGTCCGCTGTCCCCCACCCCTTCTGGCCTCTGCACGTCCTTGTCACCTTCCCCCGGAGGACTGTGTACTCATCTTGCACTGGTTCCCCTGCCTCATGACGCACCCCCCCCAACCCCCGCTGCCTCTGCGTGTTGGCGGCTCCTGCCTTGTCCCTGGGACCTTGCCAGCCCATTGCCGCACCCCGCTCCGCCCGCACCGCCCTGCGCCTGGCGTGTAGCCGGCTACGGGAAGCATTTGAAGAAACACTCATTCACCCCCAGCTCCTCTGTCCTAGGCGCAGGGTTCCCCCCGTCACCCTGCTCAGTGCAAGCTGGGGAGGGTCTCCCCTGCAGGTCTTAAGGAGCCCCTCCCATAATTCATTCCCAGGCCCCTGCAGATTGAGGGCAATGGGCCTAGAGCCTTCTGAGGGGCGGGCGGGTGGAGGAAGCGTCCCTCCTGCTGTGTGAAATGTGCCATGTGACAAGCCTTCAGAGGTACACGAACTAACCCGTACGAATTTCTCTCTTGGAATTCACAGAAGTATTCATTGCTGCCTTACCTGATTTTAGTGTTGAAACAGTTCCTCCTGCAGAGGGACCTGAACGAAGTTTTTACCGGTGGAATCAGCTCGTACAGCCTCATTTTAATGGCCATCAGCTTTCTGCAGGTGAGTGCTTTCCCTCGAGGTGCACACACTCAGAGTCCTGCTCGCCATTCCGGCCGGTGGCTTCGTGGGTTCAAGCAGTCCCTGCTCTGCCTGCCCTTCGCTGTTCTGGTTTAGTAGAGATTGACTTCTCATTTTCATAATAAAACCCTATTTCGATGAATACTTCTTTTCTGTTCCTTCATGGCTCATTTCGTAGCTGGTATAACTCCAACGAGGGAGGGCTTACCTGGTTCTGTCAGTCAGGTTTGTTGCTCTAAACTCAAGGAAGAAACACCTTTACGTTTAGAAAGCCTTCATACCTTGATAGGAAGTTAGTTTTTTTGGTGCTCAACTGTGATTACCGAAAAATCTGTCTCAAAAAGTTTGGTACTATATAGTAAAAAATATTGAAAAGAACCTTTTCAGATTGACAAAATTTTAGTATTTTGTCCTGAATTATACATTGCCCTTACTTTGCTGAGTACCATGGAAAAAGTGTCAGTAGGAAACCTAACTGGTCAACGCTGTGACGTTCTGATGAAACTTTACTCACACTTTTTAAACACATAAAATAGTTTCTAAGTCAGCCGTCCTCAACCCTTCTGGCACCAGGGCCCGGTGCTCCTGTGAGAATCTAATGCCTGAGGATCCGAGGCAGAGCTGAGGCGGCGATGCCGGCGCTGGGGAGCGGCTGCACATACCGATGAAGCTTCACTCGCTTGTCATCTGCTCACCTCCTGCTGTGCAGCCCAGTCCCTAACAGACCAGGGACGGGTATGGTCAGCTGGGCCGGGGTTTAGGGACCCCTGCTCTAAGTTAACTGAAACATTATCTCATTTATATTTCCTTAAACAATTCTGTCTCTACAAAATCTTGCTTGTATAATTTAGCTGCACAATACTTCCTCTGTGTTTATTATTAATCTTTTATTTGAGCTGGTGATTAGTGGGAGTTTTATGTCCAGCATTTGGCCCTTTTCTCCTTATCGTGAATGCTGCCGGTAGTGCAGCTAGTGGTTACAGTGCATTTAATCGTCGTGACTTCTTGGCCGTCTCTGCAGAGGGGATTTAAGAACGGCGAGATGCAGCTCCTCGCCTCTTCTCGGCGTACTTCCTCGCGTGTTCCTGATTCGAGCTGTCGCAGTAGCCTGTGGCAGTGAGGACTCCTTCCTCTCACCGCCCTGGGCTCAGTGCCTCCCGCTCACTTACCCCTGGGCTCCTCACAGGGCTCTTGTGACCCCACCGAAGGCTTCGCCCAGCGTGGGTGGGGTGGCCTTGTCACCTCCACGTCCCTGAGTGCCTCACCCCTCTCGCCTCAGAGCTGTGATTATGTAGCTGAGTTCATTCGTGGCTAATTGGGGCAGGAAGGCCCAGCCTCGTCTTGGGAGCTCCCAGGCGTGTGAGTTTGTCTAGAAGGCAAGGAGGAAGGGAGGGAGCGAGGGCGGGCAAGCGAGGATGCTGTGCTGGTGCTCCGCGCTGTCCGGTGGACCTGTGCGGCGGGCAGTGTCCTGTTTTGTCCGCCCAGCCAGGTAGCCGTGGGGTACAGATGCCCCATGAGTGCCTGCAGCGTGGCCAGCAAGACTGACACATGGAACTTTTAACAAGTTTGTCTTTACTTAAATATAAAGAGCCGACAGGCAGCTGGAGTCCGTGTTGCTCGGGTCTGTGCGTCTCTGAAATCAGCACCTCGGAGGGTGTCGGTAGACAGCGACTTAGGCTCAGAGGAAGCCCTTTTCCTGCTTAACAAAGTCGTGGTTCTGAACCGAGGCTGACACTAATCTGTAGGACAAGCAGGGTGGAAGTAGGCTGTGAACGTTATGCAGTGATACCGATTATCTCTACACAGTTAAAATCCTTTCACGTTTTGGTTTTCTGATACTCTTCAATCTAATGCTGCCCCCTATTGGCTGTATTTTGGAATAATGGAATTAAGATTGGAATCTGTAAAATTACATCCACCATCTAGATGACACCAAATTGGGCAGAGTGTGGCCCACGTATTTATCAGTACTGGGGGACTTGTGCTTGGCCAGCTGTCTGTGTAGGCAGTTGCTGTGCGGGATTACCAGTTTCAAAGTTCCGATGACGTTTTGTTGGTATTTGACCAGTCGTGGTTGAGCAGGGCTCTCTGGGACCTGTCTGTGGTGCCTCCGCGCCGCTGCTCCGCGTGTCCGACGCCGGCGGGTGGGCGAGCACCACCGCGGGCGGGTGCTTCCCTCCGGAGGCTCTAGACGGCGGCCTTCTCAGAAATGACTCGAATTCACGCGAACTGTGGGTGTGTTGCTTTTGCAGTTGCATCCGAGAATCGATGCCCGGAGAGCTGACGAAAACCTTGGAATGCTTCTCGTAGAATTTTTTGAACTCTATGGAAGAAATTTTAATTACTTGAAAACTGGTATTAGAATTAAAGAAGGAGGTGCCTATATTGCCAAAGAAGAGATCATGAAAGCCATGACCAGCGGGTACAGACCGTCGATGCTGTGCATTGAGGACCCCCTGCTGCCTGGTAAGGGTGATGCGGCCATCCCTGGGGGCCCGGGTGCGGGGGCTGTCCTCGGGCCCTGCAGGCCAAGGGCGTTCGGTTCATGGGATCGGATGCTGATCCCCACTGTCCTAATGGAGTTAATAGTGACATTTTAAAACTCCGTGTTTACCGCTTCTAATTACTTCTCGTGAAGTCACAATTTTGTTTCACATTCTGTAATCAGAAACATGTAGAAGGTGAGAATTAAAAAAAAATTTTTTTTTTTCTGATTACAAAAGTGTTACATATTCATCATAAAGCATTTAATTCCCAGAAGCATGTAACATAGCAGAGCTGAGTATGCCATCGTCTCTCTCTCTCTTTGGTGTGTATATTTCTCCCATACTTTTTCACGTGGATGTTAGCATTTATTACTGTTGCCTTATTCATCTGCTAAATCGGATAATGCAGATTTGCAGCTTGTTTCTTTTATTTAACAATGTATCCAAGGCCCCTTATCCGAGACCCCTTTCCTGTGTGTTGCGTTACAAGGATCGCCACCTTGAAGAGCCCAGGGCAGGTGTCCGCTTACCAGTTTCATTCCTTTTTGCGTGTTTAAGGGTGCGCCTGTCCCCAGTCTTTTAAATCTTTGTCAATCTGATAAAACCGTGCAATGTAAATTTTTATTTAACTTACATTTCTTTCACAGTAGTGAGGTTAAACACCTTATTATTTATCAATTCCACAGTTGTTTATTGAGCATGTATTAGGTGAGATACTGTTCTTGGTGATAAAGTCAGTGACGGACAGGTGACAGAAAGTGGTGGTGATGTCAGCTCCAGGTACACTACCCCTTTGTATTCCTCTCTGGGTGAGTTTATGTGCCTTGTCCACGAGTCTGCGGACGGTCCCCGACGCACCCTGTCAGACCCCGGTCACGTTAGGGAGGCCGACTTCATCGTACGTATTGTCGTTTGCATTCGGGTTTGGTATTTTTTATTGTTCAGCTCCCATATATATATATATTTTTTAATATCTTCAAATTTAGTGATTTTTGTTTTGTTCTATGGCTTCTGGGGTGTGAAATTTACTTCTTGAAGATCTCCGGAGAGCACCTTCTTCGCGGCTGTTGGCGCATGCCGTGGTTTGCGCCACGCCCTTTCAGCATGGTTTCCCGGCAGCTCGTGTGACAGGTTCTGGCATGTTTGTCTGTGCCGGTAAAGTACATCGGAGACATTGCCACCATCTTCAGTGTTTGCTGAAATGTACTTGAAAAGCGAAACCTACACCGTCACTGGGTTATATTATTAAAGCTGGAAAAGATAAAATTCCAACACTTAGAATACATCTCCTAAAAAACCCTTACTCTTCCTGAACTGTAAAGAACAAGTTTCATGGAACTTAAAATTCGAAATGGTTCTGTTCTTACAAAGTTAAGCTCCTTGCCTGTGGCTCGTCGGGTGACTTCATGGCGGCTTCATTTGTTGCCTGTCCGGTTCTCAGCACCTGGAGTTCAGGCCTGGAACATTCTACCCTAGAGGCTTCGCTCTGGGCAGGTTTCACTGGTGCTGACCGAACTGCGACGTGTTCGGGTTCGCTGCCCGCGGCAGGGAGCTCCGTCCCTGAGTTGGCAGTCTGATTCAGGTTGCCGCTTTGTGCTTTTTGCCACCTGGGGAATTACGCGACTCTTTCATGAACTGTCGCTCCGTCCGTGAGTGGCATCTCTTTCTGGAGGTAGACCCGACCTTACGATACGGGTCGGCCCCTCGGCCTGGGAAAGCCGTGGTACGAGCAGGCGGCCAGCTGCGGCGTGTTTCCAGGGGCCTGATTCGGCTTTGCTGGTGGGCTGTGGGGGTGTTTGGCGGGGGCCTGCTTTGGGGGAA